CTTGTCCTCAGCAGGTGGGAATAATAACTTTTGTAAACACGGTGGCAAAAGTTTTCGATGAGTACTTCCAGATGTAGTTATCTGTCCGTCTGTCTGTCTCTGTCTCTGTCAGCTTCCTGCCTCTCTCTCTCTCTCTCTCTCTCTCTCTCTCTCTCTCTCTCTCTCTCTCTCTCTCTCTGCTATATATATATATATATATATAATATATATATATATATATATATATATATATATATATATATAATAATATGTGTGTGTGTGTGTGTGTGTGTGTGTGTGTGTGTGTGTGTGTGTGTTGTGTGTGTGTGTGTGTGTGTGTTGTGTGTCTATGTCTCTGTCTGTATTTCCTGTCTTCCATTCCGGTTATTTCTCTCTCTCTCTCTCTCTTCTCTCTCTCTCATCTCTCTCTCTCTCTCTCTCTCTCTCTCTCTCTCTCTCTCTCTCTGTACTCTTCTCTCTCTCTCTCCCTCTCCCTCCCTTTTCTCTCCCTCTGTGTGGCGTGCCCTGGTGTGCTGTGTTGTGGTGTGTGTGATGTGTGTGTGCGTCTATGACACACATGGGCAATTTAGACGCAAAATAAAAAGATATCGAGTTCACACCAAGAATAAACCATTGTAACAATAAAATAAAACTAGATAAAAAAAATAATCCATCTATTATCTACTCACTTTTCTCTCTCCTCCTACCTCTCTCTTTTCCATATCTATTTTCTTTTCTCCCAATCTCATTCCGCCCGTCCCTCCCCCCCCCCCTTCCGCATCCACAGTGTTTTTTCTCTCTCGCCCAGCTCTTCCTTCCTGTCACTCCAGCTGTACCGTCTCTCCTACTTGAGCCATGTACTATTATTCTATTGGTGTAATCTCTGACCTTGACCAGACAGGAAGCCACTAAAAGGAAAGGTCATATAAGGGTAGAATGAGGACGTCCTGACAAACACGAGGAACATGCATGTTTGTTATACATAAATACATTATTATCTTTTTTTTTTCTCTCTCTATATACTGCAAATGTCAAATAGAGGAGAACACTACTCTGCCTAACGTATTCAATTTCGATTTTTCACTCTGAGAAGGTTACGATAAATTGGAAAACACTGCTCTGTCTCAGGTTTTCAAAAAAAAGGAAAACACAAGCCAGATCACGTGTTCTATTCATGTCTCGCGCATGTTATTGATCACAGAGGTGTTACTACTGCCTCTCCCATACTGCGTAGATCGTGTCTAAGAGAATTTCTTGGTGACCTAATGTGAGGGGAGACTTTGGTAAACGTTTGGTGACCTTGAAGGAGAAAAAGATAGAGGTGTAATCTATAGGTAAAATTTTAATGAGGCGAGAGGCATGCGTGATGAAGATGAATAATTGATGTGCCTGAGGAATATTTCACGAACTAGAGTAATGTTAGCTCTGCATAGTGACGAAGGCGAATATTTGCGTGACCTCAGAGTAAATATCTATTGATTTTGAATATTGTTTCAAGAGAGAGAGACAGAGAGAAGAGAGAGAAGAGAGAGATGAGAGAAGAGAGGAGAGAGAAGAGAGAGAGTAGAGAGAGAGAGAGAGAGAGAGAGAGAGAGAGAGAGAGAGAGAGAGAGAGAGAGAGAGAGAGAGAGAGAGAGAGAAGAGAGAAAGAGAAAGGAAGAGATAGAGAGAGAGGGGAAGAGAAGAAAGAGAGAATGGTGGGAGAAGAGAAGAGAGAGTAAGGGGTGAAGAGGAGAGAGAGAAAAATAAGAAAGGGGGTGAGGAAAATAAGAAAGGGGCAGAGGGAGAGAGACAGGAAGTGGTAGTGGGAGAGGGAAGAGGGGTGAAGTAGAGAGAGTAGAGAGAGAGAGAGAGAGATAGAGAGAGAGAGAGAGAGAAGAGAGAGAGAGAGAAGAGAGAGAGAGAGAAGAGAGAGAAAGAGGAAAGGGATAGGAGAGAAAAGAAATAGAGAGAAAGTAACACACACACACACAAACGCATACAAAACACGTTGGCCCTTTGTTTAACACACTTTAATTTCATGGTGTTCTTCTGTTGATAATAATTTCCCTCATAAGTTTAAATGTTTATGCACCAACATTATTAGGAAGTCACGAAGTATTTATTCAATCAAGAAATTTACGAAATCAGACGCACGTCTTGTGACAAAAAGAACAACAACATATACATATATACATGCATACATATTATATATGTATATATATACATATACACCCACGTACACAGAAACACACATGCACACATATATGAACTCACACACACACAAACACACACATATAGCCATGATAATAATCTTATTTTGCTACTAACGTTAATAATAAAGATAATTAACAATAATGCTCATGATGATGGCAGCATTTCTGATAGGGAATGACAATTCTGTTAATAAAAAAATATTCATATAATGATAATAACAGCGATGGTAGATGTTATACCAAAATTATTATGAAAATGATACAGAAAAGAATAATAATGACAACAAAATTATTGCTAATGAATGAAAAAAGTTATAACACCCATA